GAATCCATTTTCTGAGAAGAGGGATCTGTTGTTAGGTTTTATATGAAGGGGGATGGGATCATCTGTTTTTGCTAGAGAGGGGAAGGGGTTTTTTAGTTAGAGATAATGAGAAAATGTAACGATCCAGCTGGTTGTTTCATGAGTTATAGCCCCGTTTATCCAATTTCTACTTCCTTATATGTTCCTCAGCTGTATTTGATTGTATCGTATTAGTTGGTTCAGGTTCGGAGTGGTTTTGGAGTGAATTAAGACACTTAGTCTTTTTTGAGAAGGCTTAAGTTGGGAAAGTTGACCGGATATTGACTTATGAGTAAACGACCTCAGATTTGGATTTTTATGGTTCCATTAGCTCCGTTAGGTGATTTTGGACTTAGGAGCGTCTCCAGAATGTGATTTGGAGGTCCGTGGTAGAATTAGGTATGAATTGGCAAAAGTTAAAATTTTGGAGATTTTGGTCGGCAGTGGAAAATTTGATATCGGGGTCGGAATGGAATCCCAGAAGTTGGAGTAGGTTTTTAGGGTCATTTGTGACGTGTATGCAAAATTTTAGGTCATTCAGCGGTGATTTAGTAGGCTTTGGCGTCGTTTACGGAATTTGAAAATTTAGATGTTTTTAGGCTTGAATCCGAGAGTAATTTGGTGTTTTGATATTGTTTTGAGTGATTCGAAGGTTCGACTAAGTATGAATGATGTTATGGGATGTGTTGTCATATTTGGTTGAGGTCCCGAGGGCCTCAAGTGAGTTTCAGGTGGCTAACGGATCAATTCTTGATTTTGGAAGTTGGCAGATTTTCTGGTATTTTGCTGTAGAGAATTCCTTCATCGCTTTCGCGAGAGGGCTCTCGTGTTCGTGAAGGGATTTTGAAAGGGGTAGCTGAGTTGTTCTTTGCGTTCGCGATGTAGTTCCCACGTTAGTGAAGGTGTAGGACTTTAAGGTTATGCATTCGCGTCCAGGTCATCGCATTCCCGTAGAGTCAACGGTCTTAGGGAGCTTCAGGAAGATAAGCCTACGCGTTCGCGAGGTTTGTTCTGCATTCACGTAGGGTCAGCCAGCTTAGACTTTGCGTTCGTGAGTGGGTCCTCGCGTTTATGAAGGAGGAAATTTTGGTCTGAGGCAGCTTGTGCTTCGCGAATGCAAGAGCACTACCGCGTTCGCGAAGAGTAAAAATTTGGGCAGCAGTGTTAAATATCAAAATCGAGGGTTTGAGCCCATTTTCATATTTTGAGTTAGAGACCACTGAATTGGGCAATTTTAGAGAGGTGATTGGGGTAAGTGTTCTTCACTTGATTTTGGTTAGATTCTATGATTGTATCTTAATTTTTATCATCTAAATTGGGAATTGGGGTGTAAAATGGGGGTGGGCGGG